GGAACTCCGACAAGAGCTTATGAGGAGCGAGACACTCAAACGGTATGCTCCAGCCCCAGACACCCCGCCGCATGCAGCCAGTTCCTAACTCTATCCAGGTACTTTGAGGAAAACCCGGCCGAGCTCTCTCACCTGAGACACGATGGCGATTTGGGGAGGGCTACGAGACAGCAAGCCCATCTGAAACACGTTCCGGACTACCTGCTGCCAGCAGAAGGCAAGAAGGCGCTGACAAAGGAAGTGGGCTTTGTGCCGTTCAAAAAGGCGGACCAGAAGAAGAGAGGCCACAAGAGGGGGAAACCAAGCGGGCGGACGTTCAAGGTGAAGAAGAACGATCCCTTGAAGACGTTCAAGGTGAGGCGGAAGTAGACGCGCGGCGTGGGGGTTCGGCGTTGGGGGGAGGAATAGGAGCATTGCAGGGAGGGCATGGGATGTCGGTTGTATGTTCTGCGGTGTAGTAGGTGGCGGGCGAGACCCACGATCCCCTAAGCGGAGCATTTTGTTTCATTTTACGGCGCCATGGTCATATCGGTAGTGTGTGCTGAATTGAGTATTAGCCTGTCTTTATATACAGACCTTTGCGAATGAACATGGTCGACTGCCCGAGGGTACAGATCTCGGTGTCCCCAGTATGGAGTTGCAAGGTGGCGGCATGTGCCTCTCTATTCTTCCATTCTGACATGTATTAGTCCTGTTCCATTGTCGACGTGTCTCTACAGTGACGGATGTCCGAGGTGAGCATGGCAAGGCAACCTGGAAGATTTGGTGGTTCGTCGGTCATGTATCAATGGGGTACATATCAGAGATCAGACGAGGCAACCGAACTAAGGTCTATACCCTGAAATATTCATGAGCATCCTAGGATGGATTTCGCCATGCAATGTGCGTCTTCATTTTCAAGAGCAGTCATATTCTCGGGCTAACAGCCACATACTTTTATTTTCTACCCCCTCCCTCTCCCCAACACCGTCCCTAAATTATCGCTCAGGTCTGTACAAAATACCACTGAACCGGGAACCTCCCGCACTCTACTCTCCATGAAACAACAGCGAGCCATCTCTCCGTCCCGAACCACAAGCCTTCGAGGGATAGAAAGCGGCACACACGCCCGTCTCGCCTTTTCCAGGCCGCATGGTGACAACCAAGCAAGCCGTCAACACGATGCCGAGATCCAGTCTCCATCTTTGGTCTACCAGGGATCGCCAGCTTCCATCCAGCATTGAACTCGGACCTTCGAACACCATGGCAACCCTCCACCCTCGTGCTCGACCCGGGGTCAAGGCGACACTGCCGGAAAACAACAAAACCACAATCCGACCACCACATATTCATCAGAACCGCCAATTCCGCGAACCCAGCCGGTCATGTCCAACACAACACAGAGCAAACCCCCGTCCCCTCCAGCTCCCCCACCCTCCCCCCCGCCAACGCCGACATCATCATCACCAACCCCATCACCACCGCCACCCTCCTACCCCCAGCCGCTGCAAACTCTATACCCTTCCCCGCCTCTGTCCACACTCTCCTCCTCATCCACCCTCCTCAACGAGCACGTCTCGGCCAAAACTACCATCCTGCACGACAGGCTCGAGCGGCTCCGGGCGTCGTTTGAGCGCGGGCTGGAGATACACGGGGTCGACTTGCGGGAGAGGAGGGAGCACGTGGAGAGGATGGTGGTAGTGCGTGTTGGGGGGAGGGGAAAGAGTGGTGGGTGAGGGAGGGGAAGAGGTTGGAGGGGATGGTTTGCGTGCCGTTTTTAGGGGGATGGAGGGGGAAGTGGAGGGAGTACGGTGGTTGATCTGGTTAGTTGTTGTACGGTTGTGCTTCGGGGGGGGTTCTGGTCAATCGGGATGGATGCCGCGGGGAGGGTGGTGAGCACTGGCAGAGTTTCTGGTACAGGGTCGATAGGGACGGGGAGGAGGGGTTGCCCTCGAGTACCAAGGTTGCACAATTGCGCGTCAAGCGTGGCGATGTTGGGGGGTTGTTACACGGATAGATCTATGTTCCTTCTGGGGAGATGCTGGGGCAGTACAATTTACCCCTGATTGGAATGCAGGATGGCAAGACAATTCTGTGCAAAATACAAAACGCACTCTCGATTTTGGGATATCTCGGAGCCCCGGGGAAATCATCTGGTGACATATACGTGCCAGGTGTACGGTTCACTGTTGTACGGTTCACTGTTGAAGCTCTCCACTTGAGCGTGGTGGCGAATAGGGACAGAGGGACACTGCTCAACTGCGCAAGCCGCGCATGCACCTGGTCACACCTCCTATAAAACATGCCGCCTCTTATCATCAATCTGCATCCAACTCGACCTTGAAAATCAAAGAAATACGTCTCGCGCTCGGGAATCTCAACAACCACAAACCTGCAAACCCCTTCCAACCTTGAGCTTTCGACCAAAAAAATGCCCGCCACCGCCCCTCCCTCGACCAAGGCTCAAGAGCAAGACATCACACCTGCCCCCAACGATACCTCGCGTCCGACTGGCGCCGGCGTCAACACAGGCGCGGGAACCACGCGGGAAAAGACAGAGGCGGAACGGGAGGCCGACCGGTTGTACGAGGAGAGGATGGAGGAGGAATATGCCAAGCGGGAAGGCGGTGCTTAAGATGGACATAGGGTACCTACGTAAATCTATACTGTCTTGCCTCATGCGGAAGTTTGTTGGCTTTGATGGAGGTTTCGACTCCGTTCCTGAGCTTTTGGTGACGTCATTTCGAACATCTCTCCGGGGTTCTGGAAAGAAATTATATCTTCAAAAATTGACGAATCATTCCGCAGCCAGAAGCAAGCCACTCTCCCAATGCAAAACTAACACCTGCAGATTTGAACAGGCCCGTCGTCCTGCTCCAGGCGGTGGGGTGCCTATCAGGAGCTTGTCTTTTGCCCCTGGAGGGCATCTGACCTTTGCTGACCATCAATGGACCAATCAGCACCCTCACAATCCGGCTTACGCGTGGCGCTGATTCGCTCCTGCGATGTAAGTGGTGATTTAGTTGTGGTTAAGCTGTGCCATCACTCCGGCGTAACTACATCAGACAAAGACCACACAAATTGGAAATTTTACAAACCTCTGTGCTGCTTGACCTCCTAATCCGCAATCCCGACAACCAGGTTACTCCAAGATTCACCCGCAGCGACACAACACGAGGCCGGCACGAGTCTCCCGCCTTTGAACAACGTTGCCACGACACATCACTCTCGGCGACACGCAGCTCCTGATCAGAAAGTACCCTCCAAGGTTGCCTCTCTTCTGTGGCCCTCGAGATGGTCAATAATTATGGCGCCACTGCGACCCCGGGGTGTAGCTGGGACGAGGAGGAAGGCCACCCATCGGCAGACGCCCAGACCGAATCAACGCCCTTCCTCCGCCCCTCATCCAAGATGTTGTCCGTCACAGGCATCAAGAACCTCATCTTCCCAAGCTCCCCTCGAAAGAACGATACCTACATTCACAAACATGGCGCCAAGTCAGCCACCAGCCTCAACGACGGCGACAGTCTCGGCACTAACTCGACCCTCGTCGACCTCGAGTCCCAGGATCGCCCGTCCCGCAAAAAAGGCGGCTTCCGAATCGACGCTCGAGTCATCTCCGACGCCACCATTGGTCTCTCAGATGGCCTCACTGTCCCGTTTGCCCTGACAGCGGGCCTATCCGCCCTTGGCAACACCAAGGTGGTCATTTTTGGCGGTCTCGCCGAGCTCATTGCCGGTGCCATCTCGATGGGTCTTGGTGGCTACCTAGGCGCAAAGAGCGAAATGTGCGTCCCTTGATCCCATATTGGCAATCTCCAACTGAAAACCCCTCCAGCGCATCCTACAACGAAGCCCTCTCCCGCGTCACGGCCCAAACAAAAACCAACCCGACGGCGACAACCTCGGCCCTCCACTCGGCCCTGGGACCCCTCGCGCTCCCTCCCGCCACCCTTGACGCCATCACCTCCCACCTCAACTCGCCCTCGTACCCGCGCGAGTCCCTGGTCCCCTTCCTCATGCGCTTCGACCACCCGGAGGAGCCCAGCCCGTCGCGCGCCCTCACCTCGGCTCTGACCATTGCGCTCGCCTATTTCTTTGGCGGATTGGTGCCCCTGCTCCCGTATTTCTGCATCCCCGACCCGTATCGGGCGCTGTACGTCTCGGTGGGGGTCATGGTCGTCGCGCTGTTTGCGTTTGGATACGCCAAGACGGGCGTGGTGGTTGGCTTCAACCGGAGTGGTGTGATGAGATCGGTGGGTGGGGGTGTGCAGATGGTTGTCGTGGGCGGAATCGCGGCCGGGGCGGCGATGGGGCTCGTCAAGGCTTTCGGGGGGATGATGGGGAATCCGGAGTAGACTTTTTCTACCGGGGCCTGGCACGGAGGGATGGTGTGGCTTGTGATTCATGGTCTTTGGCGTTGGCATTGGCATCGAACTGGATGGGGATTCCAAAAGGAGCAAGAGGAAATGGCATCATAACCACAGACAGGATTGTATTCGTATCCGGCTGATAGATACTACGTCTCTCCCTCACGGCGTTATCGGGGTGTTGTGGAATACATACCTAGTTTTTCTGGGACTGCCTTCTCATGGTCGGCTGCGTAGTCGAAGGTGGATGTTGCAACCTAGCCAGGATTGGTTATTCTCTATAACCCTACCAGCATGGAAAAGTGTCTTAGACGTCAGAGTATTTCCCATTATGCTTCAACGCTGTGACGGGAGGCGGGAATGTCAAAGTCAAGTAGAGCGCCGCTCTGGAGAAACCTCTTTTCTCGCGAGATGGCCCCGTGAACTAGCCACTAGCCATGAAGGAAAATTCCTGGCTGAGGATGCTCCCTTGAACCGTGCAGAGAATAATCAGTCTCTTAATCGAAGTTGCGTTGAAAAACATGACCCGTGGCCCATGATTCAGCACTGAACCCACATGTCACCCGCTGCTAAACGCAAAATTCTTGTCCGAGAAGTGCCCACCTCCACATACAGCATTAACCAATCCGTCCCTCAACAATTCAACAAGAAGCCCGGCTAGCTCAATCGGTAGAGCGTGAGACTCTTACCTTGTCAGTCTCCCGGCTCTGAAAGGACATCTCAAGGTTGTGGGTTCGACCCCCACGTCGGGCTCAATTCCCGACGATACATCGTCAGAAGCTTCTTCTTTTTGCCACCTTTTCATCTCAAACAAACCAACACAACCATTTCTCACTTCTTTTTTTTCCACCCCCAACTACCCCCCCTCAGCAACCCGAATCGGATGCGCCTCCGTATTAAACACAAACTGCCCTCCGCCACCCACCTTCACCTGCCACGGCGCCTCCTACCCCCCTATCAGCACCAACCCACCACACGACTCAGAGACACTCACCTCAGCCTGAATCAAGTACGCATACTTCACCACCTCCGCCATCCAAAAACTCTCCATAAAATCCGTCCACCCCCCTCCCCCCACCCAATCCACATCCCTCACACTGGAATATCCCCTGGACCTCCCCCCGACCACAACCGCGCACGCTCGCTCCACCGCCCCAAACGCCGCCCACGCCGCGTCCTGGAACCGCGCGTCCCCCGTCGCGCGGTACGCGTAGTACAGCGACTCGAAGACCTCGGGGCGGAGGACGTAGCCGGGAGAGGCGGTCCAGAAGCCGTGGGCGCGGTGGAAGGCGGATTGGTTTGTGGGCGGGAGGTGATTGAGGCGGGAGGGGGGCAGGAGGGAGTCTTGCCAGCGGAAGGATTCCGGGCCGATGTGGGTGAGGGTGGAGGTGTAGGTGTTGAGGCAGGAGGTGGTGAGGTCGAGGCCGAGGTTGGTGAGGCGGGTGGATGTGGAGGGGGTGGGGGAGTGGAGGGCGGCGAGGAGGAAGGTCCCGCCTGAGAAGCAGGCTACTATTGGGAAGGTTAGTTTTTGTTGGGGGGGTGGGTTGGGGGGGGGGGCTACGGTGCTCCGAGACGAAATGGAGGGTGGTGGCGTTCTCCCACATGGCAAGGTACGTCAGGTCCGGACGGGCGGTGGAATGGGAGAGGAGGTAGGCGAGGGAGGAGTCGGTGGCGGCGAGGAAGCGGTCCCTGTAGGCGCCAAAGCGCGAGGGCGAGTAGACGTGCATCTTGACGAGGTACTCGTAGAAACTGTCGCTGCCCCCGCCCCAGCCGCCGGACGAGGAGACGAAGAGGCCGGTGGAGATGTTGACGTCAGAGCCGAGCAGGCCGGGGAACGGCTCCCCAATGGAGGGGGGTTGCGGTGAGAGGAGATGAGATTCGGCGGTTTGGGCGAGGCGCGCGTATTCGGGATTTCCGGTGATGTCGCTGAGACGGGTCCACTCGAGGACGAGCGTGCCTATGGTGGCGAGGCCGTTGGTGGTGGAGTTGGTGGTGCGCGGGGGGTTGAAGCGGAGGATGTTGTCGGGGATGCCAGAGGGGGTGTGGAAGGCGACTTTGAGGTTGTCCGCGAGGCGGACGGCTTGGGTGAGGATGTCTTGGATGGTGGACGGGGGATAGCGGGTGGCTTGGGTTTTGAGGGGACCGGTGAGGAGGTCGTAGGCTGTGTTGGTCAGCAGGTTTCCACATGTTGAGGGAAAGAATGGGTAGTACCGGAGATCAACCCCCCGAGATACCGAATCGTCGTCTCAAACAGCGAGACATCGTCGTCCGTCTTGTCAAAGTCGATGGTCTGCACGTGCCCCAGAATGACGTCCACAATCTCCCACTTGCCCATGATCAGCGCCGTGCTGAGGGCATCGACGGCAGTGGCACCCCATCCGTTTCTGGCCACATGTTAGTCTCCTTTTCGTGCAGTCAAGTCAGAGGAGAATAACATACCGATCATCATATCCCTCTCCCCTCACCGGCCTCAACGAATCCCGCGGAAAGGCATACTTGTAGTACGCATCCCACGAATTCTGAAACGCCCGGCTCACAGCCTCGGCTCGGGCCCTGTGCGGCCGGTACCGTGGTAGTGCTGGGCCGTACCGGGGGGTTGTGTCGGGAGGCCGTCCATCTCGTCGGGGCGGAATGGGAGGGCTGTTGGGTTTTGGACTATTGTTGTTGTTGTTGTTGTTGTTGTTGTTGGGGTATGGGCCTTGTTGCCGGTTGTGGCCGTTGCCGGGCCTTTGAGGGCCGAACCGGTGCCCGGGCCCGTGGTTCCCGCCGCCAGTTGACGGAGGCAAGGCGATGCTGATTCTGGCAAGGAGAGTTAGTGTCAGGAGGATCGCTGCCCATGTTCTTAATAGCGGGCTGCCGCTGCCGAAGAGTGGTCGCATTGTGGGTGTCTATCTGCCGCCACGAAGGGGAAGTAAAGGGGCTGAGTAAGGGAGGCAACTTTGAATTCAGGGCGAAAAGAGGGATAAGCTGAGACTAATACTAGAGTAAATAGATGAGAGGGAGTAACCCTGCGCAGCGGGTATGTGCAAGGTACGACGAGCGGGCGAGGCGGGAGGGGTGAGATGCGGAGTGGGGTCTTCCCGTGAGAACATTGGGTTCTCCGCGGTTATCTGCCTCATCTACTGACAAGAGGGTTTGCCAACATTGACATGTGTACCGAGCAGCTCCTTCATGTCGCTGGATGCCTGGGAGTGATCGGGCGTGGCTGGGTAACGGGGGCAAGCATATACCCGTGCTAGTGTCTGTCCTCTTCATGGCGAATGTGCGCAAGGCGTCTGGCATGGCGTCAGAAGGGCGATTGGGGCGGGCGGATGCGGCGTTGCGGGCTCTGTGCTTCTGGTGTAGCAATTTAGAACGGATATGCGGTGAAAAACAGACTGCCGGTGACGAAAACGGGCTTTGGGCTTGGTGCTGGATCAACGGTGGCCCCTGGATTTCAGCCCGTCTTGGCATGTTTACATGTTGACTCTGATTCAGGGGCTGATGTCGATGGGCATCTTCCCACACCTGACCGTGGCATGCCTACTCATTTGAATTATCATATTCCCCAAAATGTAGTCTAGGGCTACAGGCATGGCAATGCTGAAGTGGGCACTCTCATTGACGAGTTGGTTGATCGGCTGGGCGACCGTTGTGCCGTTGGTGACTGGATGCATTCTGAGCGCAAAACAAAGAAACGCTCCCCGTCGATGTCCTCGTCCCAGACCGACTCCAAGGCACAAGTATGAACGACAACGTGCATGAGGAGCAGAACCAAAAGCGGTGCCCTGTTTCTCGATTGCAATACCCGACGGCATCCGGCCAAGGCAAATGCGCTGCGCTCCCGTCGTGCTACTCGACAATGCAATTCCCAATAATGCAAAGCTCCCCCCCTACATCATTAAGCGGCCCCGTGTGGCCCAAGCTGCCTGCGACCGTGCTGCGCATGATAGTCCTGTGGGCGAGCGAAGTGGGTGTTGCACCGCATATACCCTGCCGCTCCAGCAGTAGTTCGCATCCACGTAGACTTCTTAGGTTAGAAATAGAGCCGAGCTGGAAGCGTTGGAAATGCTGGAGACCAGGCGATCAGGCGGCCCAATTTTCCATGAACAAAGGGTCGGCGATTTCCTCCTGGCGCTTGCTCTCTTTGAACTAGTGGCCCCCGATACGCGACTTCCACGAGGAGGTGAAACGTCCCACAAGGCGATACAAAGCATGGTCTCCATTCCCTGCCGTGTCATATCGCGCATATCGGATGTCTCACCTCCAGCAAACATTTGCCTGTAGATCAACTGGGCGCCCACCGCATTTGATGGGGGGGTACACGGTACCCAGCGGACAGCCAAGGGGGATCGTCTTGTGGAATACTTGGATGCGGTGAGCGCGACGAGATGCTTCCAGGGTTTGACCCAGAATCTTGTCGACCAGACAGCGATGCTACGTCTTAACCACCATCTCTCAGCCTGGCGAGGGCTGCAGCTATCCCACCACCCAGTTGCTCGGGCTGGCTCGGTCTGGCCACAGGCGGTGAAGTTTGCGGGGCTGCCTGCTTCTGCGGTGGTGGTAGTGTCTGTGGAGTTGGTTGTTTCAGGGGCAGCCCGCCTCCTGCCCCCTCAACGGCCGCCTCCGCGAGCAAGTCATCAAGGTCGTCATCACCAAAATCGTCCTCACCGCCCGCGACAGGCTGTGTGCCCTTGGCAGTGCCGCGCCCGTCCATCTCCCTTAGCGGTACCGCCGCAGGTCGCTTGGCCGTCCGCTTGGCCGCCTTCTTGGCACGAAACGGCTGGTCGACTGCCTTGCACCAGGCCTTGACCTTGCGCTCACCCCACCCCCCCACGATCGAGACCTGCTCGGGGTCGGCGTTGACGGCGTGGCGCAGGCTGCCAAAGGTGCTGACGAGGGCCACGGCGTCGGCCTTGTTGATGGCGCGCGGGACCGTGACGAACTCGACGAGCTTCTCGGCGTAGCCCGTGGCCTGCTGGCCGCGGATGGCGGAGAAGTTGGCGTGCTCGTACGACTTGTACAGCTCGAGGTAGCGGGCGGCCTCGGCGGCAGACCAGCATAGGATGACGGTGACGTTGTTGACGAGCGACGTTTTGGCCAGCTCGCGCAGCGAGTCCTCGTGATTGGAGATGTCGACCATGGTCAGCAGGACGCGCAAGTTGTACTTGCCCTGCAGGTTGCGGATGCGCGCGTAGATGTATTCGGGGTGGAGGCGGTGGTACTTGAGGCTGCGCGGGAGGCGGTTAGCCGCTGGGTTTGTTCTGGGCTGTAGCTTCCAGAAATGCGGGTCTGGTGTACGAGGAGAGGGGGCTGGCTACCTTAGGAAGAGAGCGCAGGTTGTGAGTCCGAGGCCGTAGTCGGCCACGATGTCGCTGTACTCCCATGGTATCGATCTCAGACAGGCCAGCACCGGATTGCCCTTTTGCCTGGGGGAAACCAGTATGGAGGATCCGGATGAGCGGGTCGGCAGGGCTTGCGGTGTCGGCTGGACAATCTTGGGGGCTGAGGCCGACGTTGATGGGTTCGGAGGGGGGGGTCTGTCGAGTCGCTGCGGTGTCGGCTGCTGCACTCTCTGTGGCTGCGGTTGCAGACCGGCAGATCGAGAAGGACCCGGATCGGCAGCGGCGAGGGCGGCAAGAAAATCATCGTCGACGCCGAAATCATCGTCCATTTTGGCAAGGTGACGGAGGTGGTGGGGGTGATGATGGTGGACTTGGCTTGGCAATTTTGGGGGGGTTGACGAAAATGGATCGCGCTGGAACGCGCCAAGC